TTTTGTTCCCCGGCGCTGGGCCTCTCCGCGGCTTTGCGGGCGACGGCGCCCGCCTGTGCCCGGCCCGGCCCGGCGAGAGCTCTAGGCCAGCCCGTGGCTTTTGCAGCCCGCTCTTGGCCGCCGTTTCCTCGGTGAACCGCTTCCCTGCCACGCTGTGAATCATCGGCTCATCCCCCAGGCTGGGTTTGCACAACGCGGAGGGTTCAAAAGGGCTCAGCTGATTCAGACGCGTCTTGGGAATTCAGGTCGGGGAAGAGAAGCCCAAACTCTGTCCGATGTAAAGCTTGCCTGCCTCTCTCTTCCTCTAGCTCCTGCGAGTCTGTATGTTTGTGACTGTGGTTGTAGAAGAGAACGCCACACATCTGGGCAAAATCTTGCAGGGGGTGTTTTGCACTAAATGACTGGTTTTTTGCCTCCTGTTTAAAATGTGGTGTTCATATCTAAGCAGGTGGTGGAAGGGTATGGAGAGGATGCTTCTGTGATAAGGGGTTGTGAGTCTCTTGTTAAAAAAAAGTGTAAGGTCTAAAATACTGGGCATGGTAAAGTTATCATGTTAGGTACCAGTTGCAAAATACATAGTTAATAGGTCCTAGAAGATGCCAATGTATCAAGTCCTACGCATATATGAATTTTCACTCTTCGTTTTGATTAGTTGATCCCTGACTTGTATGGTGGTTGTGTTAGCGCAAATTATTGATGTGTGGCTGAGGTTACCTGACATGATTAATTGAACTGTGGTTTACTCTAACTCTACTTCTTGGGTTTGCATAACGTACTGAGCCATCAATTAATCACACAGGCAGAATTTGGGCAGCATGCTAGACTAAAATCGGTTCAGTGGCTTGAGTGAACAGACTTTTCCTCTCTGCCTTCTCTTCTTGAAAGCTGATTAAAATGGCAAAATTATGGTCATTGTTTGCTCTGTGTAGTTCTTTGGATTCAAAAGGCAGGAGGGCATTTTGGAGTGCAAGGGGAGGCTTCTATAGCATCTGTCTGCAACTTCTTAAACCAAATGCATATTTTCGTGGACTGAGTTTCAGCTGTGGAGTGCAGCTACATGAACCTGGGAAAAAATGCATCTGTTCAAAGGTCTTACATGTAGGTGTTACGTAAGCACCCCCATGTGCTTTGGAGCATCTTTTGCCTTTGCATCTGAACCACTGCACACCCTTAGTAATAATTCATGCTAACAAATACATATTTCTTTATAAGGCTATGGGTGAATTGGAGAGCCCTATCTGTGTAAATACAAATTCAGGGGCATGGTAATTTATTGACCATAACATAATAAAACTTATTTTAATGTTAGGTTGATTTAGATTCCTGTATTTGGCATACGATTTCCATCGTGGTGAGTGGGAAGAAACTACAGCTTACTCAAGAGAAAGCAAAGAGTGCTGTGTTCCTAAGTATAAGTCCTTTTCAATATTAATCTCTGGAGGAGATTGGGGATTTCTTTGATTTGACAGTAATAAAGATTTCAGCTTTATCAGTTGAGTACATGATTGGTTCGTAGAGCTTTCTGCCATGGAAGTTTCTGAGCACTCCTTTATAAAGGCAAAGAGTAACAAGGGACCGAAAGCTGAATTATTTTGAAATATGATTATGCAGAGGCCTCTCCCATATTGTCCTCCTGAATTCTGTGGGGGTCTTGAAATGTGCCCTGTACTAGTCAGTCTAAAATCAGCTATGTGCAGATTAACAAGTGCTTTCCCATTAAAGGATTGTGTGTGAACAAGTAGGCACTTAAGGTCTCTTACAAATATAATTTTGTGGCTAATTCTTTGATTCCTGTTGGCTCTTATTTCAAGACATAGGATTTACATAGTATTTTAGGTGGAAAGAAGACATGGTCTTGTCAGTTGTTGCAAGATTGATCCCAAAGAATATATACAATACAGTATGGACATAACATGGTCATAATTTATTTTATGACCCAGTGTGTTCTGTTTTGGGGGCTCAGCCTGCTGTGCAGACTCAGCTATTGTGATTTGTGAATCAGGCTTTATATCTTAGTGTATTCTATGAACCCATCAATTTTGGTTTATTCAATACATTATGATTAAACTGTAGAATCATATAATGGATTAAAAGGCCCCTTGGAGCTCATTTAGTGCAACCCACTACAGGAATGGCCATCTAGCCTGTTAAAACAACTCCAGCAGTCCACCATCTGCTGAGCATCCTTTCCATTGTCAAACTGCTCTGTCAGGAAATTCTTCCTAATGTCCAACCAAAATCTTCTTTTTTGTTATTTAAGCCTATCGCCTCAGCATCATGTGCACGTCCAGCTGGTGTCTTCCTCTGCTACAGCTTTCTGATAGATCCTCTGTAACTTCCATTCTGAGTTGTTGCACCAGCAGAAATTGGATTAATACAAGAGGATCCTACAAAATTTAACTTAATACAAGTGTCTTGAGACTTTCTTTCTTTCTTTCAGTCGGCTTTCTTTCCCAATTCAAACAAACAAACTCCACAAGCTCCATTTTGATTGGATTCAAACAAGGTGCTCAGTCATAATTTGAGTTGCTTGGTTTTTGGCTTAGTGAGATGGGGTGGAAACTGTGTCTTAGTTGAGTAATAATTGCCAGATCATTGAAATTGTATTAAAGCACATGCCATATTGTTTAAAAAATAGAATATTTGTGGGAACCCTTGAAAAAGGGTAAAAATAATAACTTAATATAAATAGAAACAATAGCAATAGCACCAAGCTACAGATTTAGCTATAGAACACAGATTAGCCAGAGATTGGCTGGCAAAAGAAGTTTTGTAGCCTTTTCAGAATCTCAGCAGACACAATATGGCCTTTTTTGGAATGTGAATTTAAAGTTTACAGCCATTCTTTTGCATTGATTGTGTAAGCAAATTCACCATGGTAAGACATACACAGAAAAGCATGTCCTCCACAACTGAAAGAAGGCATTCTGCATCAGTTGCCCCTCAAATGCAACCCATGTATTTATATATTGATTTGTTAGATTTTTTACTCTGTCTTTTGTCTGGGATCTCAAGGCACTGTATATAGCACTCTTGCCTCCAGTTTTTCCCTTCAGCGATAATGCTTTGAAGTTAGTTGGGCTGAGAATGTTTGATTGGCCCAAAGTCACTTGGGGATCATGGGTAGATTTGAACCTGGGTCTCCTTGGCCTTAGTCTAGCACCTTAACTGTTACTCCACAGATTAAAAACAGGAACTGAGCTGAGAAGTAACAGAACAAGTGTTGCAAAACCAGCCAGTTCAGAAGTGATAACAGGGAGCAGTGTTTTCATATATGATTGGATTAAAGAGCATGAAAGATGAGGTTCAGGGTTGTAGTCCCCAGAAAACTTCACTGCATCCTCATAACTGCATTCTTGGTCTTGTGTAGGGCGGGGGGAGGGAGAGAAATTTGCTGCTTTATCTTTTTATTTAAAAAGCTGGAAATGCATAATCAAAGTAATTTATGATGTTGGGAGTATCCTTTTGCTGAGTTTAATTATTGCAAATAAGCTTGTAACTAGAAAACATTTTCAAAATAATTTAACTTGAAAAGAACAGTTATTAGTGAAGCAACCTAAGTAATCTTGGAAAGGCCGAAGTGTGCAACTT